TGCAGGCATACATGGCCTCACATCGAGCAGCAATGACAACCAAGTTCTACCAAGAGCAGCCTGGTACCCGCCCACAACAAATCATCCAACTCTCATGCTTCGAGGCATGCGTGATGATTCATGATTAACAATGCCAACAGTTTCCACCGAGCAAGACGAGGGATTGTTGTGGTCGCATGACCTTGGCCAAAGATGGCTTCCGATGATGCTCAGGGCCCGACAATGCGGCCATGCTTGATCTCCACTGCCCTGCGGCGCTTGAAGGTTGCCTCATCCTTGTCCGCGCTCAGCCCGAGCGGGTCCCAGAAGCCCACGGGATCCTGCACGCCGAGCTCCTTGGCAGGGTCGAAGCCAGCGCTGCCAGTCGAGTCGCCGCCGAAGAAGTTGCGCGCAACCTTGGGCTCCCTTGCCCTCAAAGGCGAGGAAGTGTACAGGCTCCAGTCGCCCCAGGCCGAGCCGGTCAGACCATCTTGGAAGAACATCCCGATGATCGCCTCAAATAGCTCATCATGATTTGCTGTGGTCTGAAACCGCAGCAACGTACAAATGTTTTCCCATTGCTTCTGCCTGTTGCCACTGCCTCTGTGCGTACTCAATCCACTGATACCTTGCCAAACGGTTTCATTCACGTTGCTATATACACGTGCGGAGTCAATAGCTGCATGCACGAGGATTTACGCACATTCAACAAGCACAATGACAGGGAGTTTCCAACTGTAAGCGAACAAAAACCAACACCGCGAGCGCGACTCGTAGTCTAGCAACAAACATGTTTGCTGCAACAACGCAACAATGCTTTCAATGGCACTTGCATAGTACATGCCACACTGAATCGAACTGCTGCTGAGTTGCCATCATGGCCAGCCTTCCGTTAGCCAACTCGGCCGCAAGCTTGGACTTGCGGGCCTCAGGGTCCTCGACCTTGCCCAGGAAGGTGGGGAAGCCAACGCCGTAGTTGCCCGGCTCAGCAGACTCAGTGGAGTCCTTCATGGAGAACTGGCCCTCACGAGGGCCCCGGCCGTCAGTGGTGGAAGACGCCTGGAAGAACCCAGTGGTCTCGATCAAGCCGCAGAAGGCAATGATCTGAGCTCCGCCCAGAACTGGCACCCTCAGTTCACAACTGACCACACAGACACGGCAAGACAAGCATCCAGAATCGGCTCCAAGTTCGACTGCGGCGTGCATCAAGACACTCTCTAGCTAAATTTTGTTTGGCTGCCACTTGGCCAAACCCCTCCGTCATTCCGAGAAGGTGAGCATCATCAAGCTATGTTCCCGGCAACTAATAGACTAAGGCTCTGGCTTGGACAGGGCTGCCAGGCCGTTCGGCACGTCGGCGAACTTCAGACCAAGGGAAGGACTCAAAAAGCCCGGGAACTTGAAGTACTCCGGCGTGATATAACCCATGCAGGCATACATGGCCTCACATCGAGCAGCAATGACAACCAAGTTCTACCAAGAGCAGCCTGGTACCCGCCCACAACAAATCATCCAACTCTCATGCTAAGAGGCATGCGTGATGATTCATGGTGATTCACAATGTTCTCTTATCAACAGTTTCCACCGAGCACGACGAGCGCAATGATGGCTCCCGATGGTGCTCAGGGCCCGACAATGCGGCCATGCTTGATCTCCACTGCCCTGCGGCGCTTGAAGGTTGCCTCATCCTTGTCCGCGCTGAGACCAAGCGGGTCCCAGAAGCCCACAGGATCCTGCACGCCGAGCTCCTTGGCAGGGTCGAAGCCAGCGCTGCCAGTCGAGTCGCCACCGAAGAAGTTGCGCGCAACCTTGGGCTCCCTTGCCCTCAAAGGCGAGGAAGTATACAGGCTCCAGTCGCCCCAGGCCGAGCCGGTCAGACCATCTTGGAAGAACATCCCGATGATCGCCTCAAATAGCTCATCATGATATGCCGTGGTCTGAAACCGCAGCAACTTACAAATTATTTCCCATTGGTTCTGCCTTTTGCCACTGCCTCTGTGTTGTACTCAATCCAATGATACCTTCCCAAACGGTCTCATTCACGATGCTGTATACACGTGCAGAAGTGGCTTCATGCACATGGCTCCATGAACATAGCTGCAGAAAGAGGATTTGTACGCACATTCAAGTCCCGCTGCAAGGAACCACAAAAAACAATGCGAGCGCGCCTCATAGTCTATCTACAATCATGTTTGCTGCAACAATGCAACTGCAACAATGCTTTCAATGGAACTTGCATAGCCTTAGTAGCCCCAAAACGCACCACGCGCAACGTGCGTTCTGGAACGTATGCCAAAACGCGCGTTCTGGAACGTGGCTGTGTGGTCAGCAGGCGCAAGGCCCCAATGCTTTTTGCAGGCTTCGGAAAAAGCATGCAGCCCCATCTTACACTGTGCGGCCGCCAGCCAAGTTTCGAAACGTAGGCGGGTTCACCGCAACTACGTGGTTGGCAGGAAAGGCCCAAATGCTTTTTGCAGGCTCCGGAAAAAGCATGCAGCCCAATCTTACACACACACACACACCCCTGCGCGGGGGCCAGCTAAGTTTCGAAACGTAAGCGGGTTCACCGTAACTACGTGGTCGGCAGACACAAGGCCCGAACGCGTTTGAAACGTAAGCGGGTTCACCGTGACTACGTGGTCAGCAAGCGCAATGACCGAGTGCAGGGTCCGGCTAAGTTTGGAATCGTAAGCGGGTCCGCCGTGACTACGCGGTCAGCAGGCGCAAGGCCCGAGTGCCTTTTTTTGCAGGCTCCGGAAAAAGCATGCAGCCAGACAACATGTTGCAGCCACACCAAAGGACTCGAATGCGTTTTTTCGGGGATGGGAAAAAGCAAGGGCAAGCAAACAACTCGGGGGCCTCTGGGAGACCGCGAAGCATACACATGCGTTTTTCGGGGCTGGGAAAAAGCATTCAAACCAACATTGTGCATCTGGAGAGCCTGAGGGCAAGCAAACAACTCGGGGGCCTCTGGGCGACCGCGAAGCACACACATGCTTTTTTTCGGGGCTGGGAAAAAGCATTCAAACCAACATTGTGCATCTGGAGAGCCTGAGGGCAAGCAAACAACTCGGGGGCCTCTGGGCGACCGCGAAGCATAAAATGCGTTTTTCGGGGCTGGGGAAAAGCATTCAAACCAACATTGTGCATCTGGAGGGCCTGAGGGCAAGCAAACAACTCGGGGGCCTCTGGGCGACCGCGAAGCACACACATGCTTTTTTTCGGGGCTGGGAAAAAGCATTCAAACCAACATTGTGCATCTGGAGAGCCTGAGGGCAAGCAAACAACTCGGGGGCCTCTGGGCGACCGCGAAGCACAAAAATGCGTTTTTCGGGGCTGGGAAAAAGCACTCAAACCAACATTGTGCATCTGGAGAGCCTGAGGGCAAGCAAACAACTCGGGGGCCCCTGGGCGACCGCGAAGCATACAAATGCGTTTTTCGGGGCTGGGGAAAAGCACTCAAACCAACATTGTGCATCTGGAGAGCCTGACAGCAAGCAAACAACTCGGGGGCCTCTGGGCGACCGCGAAGCATACAACTGCGTTTTTCGGGGCTGGGGAAAAGCACTCAATCCAACATTGTGCATCTGGAGAGCCTGGAAGCAAGCAAACAACTCGGGGGCCTCTACCCGCGAAGCACACACATGCTTTTTTCGGGGCTGGGAAAAAGCATTCAAACCAACATTGTGCATCTGGAGAGCCTGAGGGCAAGCAAACAACTCGGGGGCCTCTGGGCGACCGCGAAGCATAAAAATGCGTTTTTCGGGGCTGGGGAAAAGCACTCAAACCAACATTGTGCATCTGGAGAGCCTGAGGGCAAGCAAACAACTCGGGGGCCTCTGGGCGACCACGAAGCATACAAATGCGTTTTTCGGGGCTGGGGAAAAGCACTCAAACCAACATTGTGCACCTGGAGAGCCTGAGGGCAAGCAAACAACTCTCGGGGGTCTCGCGAAGCATACAAATGCGTTTTTCGGGGCTGGGGGAAAGCACTCAAACCAACATTGTGCATCTGGAGAGCCTGAGGGCAAGCAAACAACTCTCGGGGGTCTCGCAAAGCATACAAATGCGTTTTTTCAGGGTGCATCTGGAGAGCCTGAGGGCAAGCAAACAAGTCGGGGTCTCTGGGCGCCGCGAAGCATATTTCGGGGCTGGGGAAAGCCTCAATCCAACATTGTGCATCTGGAGAGCCTGAGGGCAACTCTGGGCGCCGCGAAGCATACAAATGCGTTTTTTCGGGGCTGGGGAAAGCCTCAAACCAACCTTGTGCATCTGGAGAGCCTGAGGGCAACCAAACAACTCGGGGGCCTCTGGGCGACCGCGAAGCATACAGATGCATTTTTCGGGGCTGGGAACAAGCACTCAAACCAACATTGTGCATCTGGAGAGCCTGAGGGCAAGCAAACAACTCGGGGGCCTCGATCTGGGCGATCGCGAAGCATACAAATGCGTTTTTCGGGGCTGGGAAAAAGCACTCAAACCAACATTGTGCATCTGGAGAGCCTGAGGGCAAGCAAACAACTCGGGGGCCTCTGGGCGACCGCGAAGCATACAAATGCGTTTTTCGGGGCTGGGAAAAAGCACTCAAACCAACATTGTGCATCTGGAGAGCCTGAGACGTGAAAGACTGCCGTGTTCCCCTCAAGTTCTCCAGACAGAGGCTTTTGCTGCGGGGCCACAAAAAGGCATCGTGTTCCCCTGTGGAGCTTCTTAGGTTGTCCAGTAGACATTTGCTTTTAATGCAGGGCAAGAAAAGAATCTAAGTCGCCGGACGTGCAAGCGACTGCCCCGTAGAGCTTTTAGGAAGTTGGCCAGTAGGGCCACATATGTTTTTATTCCAGGGTAAAAAAAGCATCTAAGTCGCCCGGCAATCGCCAGACTGCCGTATTCCCCAAAACGTGCAAAACGGGAGCTCTGAAACGCGCGTTTTGGCAACGCGCGTTGCCAACGTCAAAACGTACGGTGTGAGGTCACTAAGTGCATAGCACATGCCACACTGAATCAAACTGCTGCTGAGTTGCCATCATGGCCAGCCTTCCGTTAGCCAACTCGGCCGCAAGCTTGGACTTGCGGGCCTCAGGGTCCTCGACCTTGCCCAGGAAGGTGGGGAAGCCAACACCGTAGTTGCCCGGCTCAGCAGACTCAGTGGAGTCCTTCATGGAGAACTGGCCCTCACGAGGGCCCCGGCCGTCAGTGGTGGAAGACGCCTGGAAGAACCCAGTGGTCTCGATCAGGCCGCAGAAGGCAATGATCTGAGCTCCGCCCAGCACTGGCACCCTCAGTTCACAGCTGACAGCACACAGACACGGCAAAACAAGCATCCAGAATCGGCTCCAAGTTCGACTGCGGCGTGCATCAAGACTCTCTCTAGCTAAATTTTGTTTGGCTGCCACTTGGCCAAACCCCTCCGTCATTCCGAGAAGGTGAGCATCATCAAGCTATGTTCCCGGCAACTAATAGACTAAGGCTCTGGCTTGGACAGGGCTGCCAGGCCGTTCGGCACGTCGGCGAACTTCAGACCAAGGGAAGGACTCAAAAAGCCCGGGAACTTGAAGTACTCCGGCGTGATATAACCCATGCAGGCATACATGGCCTCACATCGAGCAGCAATGACAACCAAGTTCTACCAAGAGCAGCCTGGTACCCGCCCACAACAAATCATCCAACTCTCATGCTAAGAGGCATGCGTGATGATTCATGGTGATTCACAATGTTCTCTTATCAACAGTTTCCACCGAGCACGACGAGCGCAATGATGGCTTCCGATGGTGCTCAGGGCCCGACAATGCGGCCATGCTTGATCTCCACTGCCCTGCGGCGCTTGAAGGTTGCCTCATCCTTGTCCGCGCTGAGACCAAGCGGGTCCCAGAAGCCCACAGGATCCTGCACGCCGAGCTCCTTGGCAGGGTCGAAGCCAGCGCTGCCAGTCGAGTCGCCACCGAAGAAGTTGCGCGCAACCTTGGGCTCCCTTGCCCTCAAAGGCGAGGAAGTATACAGGCTCCAGTCGCCCCAGGCCGAGCCGGTCAGACCATCTTGGAAGAACATCCCGATGATCGCCTCAAATAGCTCATCATGATATGCAGTGGTCTGAAACCGCAGCAACTTACAAATGATTTTCCATTGCTTCTGCCTTTTGTCACTGCCTCTGTGTTGTACTCAATCCAGTGATACCTTCCCAAACGGTCTCATTCACGTTGCTGTATACACGTGCAGAAGTGGCTTCATGCACATGACTCCATGAAAATAGCTGCATGCACGAGGATTTACGCACATTCAACAAGCACAGTGACAGGGAGTTTCCAACTGTAAGCGAACAAAAACCAACACCGCGAGCGCGACTCGTAGTCTAGCTACAAACATGTTTGCTGCAACAATGCAACAATGCTTTCAATGGCACTTGCATAGTACATGCCACACTGAATCAAACTGCTGCTGAGTTGCCATCATGGCCAGCCTTCCGTTAGCCAACTCGGCCGCAAGCTTGGACTTGCGGGTCTCAGGGTCCTCGACCTTGCCCAGGAAGGTGGGGAAGCCAACGCCGTAGTTGCCCGGCTCAGCGGACTCAGTGGAGTCCTTCATGGAGAACTGGCCCTCACGAGGGCCCCGGCCGTCAGTGGTGGAAGACGCCTGGAAGAACCCAGTGGTCTCGATCAGGCCGCAGAAGGCAATGATCTGCGCTCCGCCCAGCACTGGCACCCTCAGTTCACAGCTGACAGCACACAGACACGGCAAAACAAGCATCCAGAATCGGCTCCAAGTTCGACTGCGGCGTGCATCAAGACTCTCTCTAGCTAAATTTTGTTTGGCTGCCACTTGGCCAAACCCCTCTCATTCCGAGAAGGTGAGCATCATCAAGCTATGTTCCCGGCAACTAATAGACTAAGGCTCTGGCTTGGACAGGGCTGCCAGGCCGTTCGGCACGTCGGCGAACTTCAGACCAAGGGAAGGACTCAAAAAGCCCGGGAACTTGAAGTACTCCGGCGTGATATAACCCATGCAGGCATACATGGCCTCACATCGAGCAGCAATGACAACCAAGTTCTACCAAGAGCAGCCTGGTACCCGCCCACAACAAATCATCCAACTCTCGTGCTAAGAGGCATGCGTGATGATTCATGGTGATTCACAATGTTCTCTTATCAACAGTTTCCACGCACGACGAGGGCAATGATGGCTTCCGATGATGCTCAGGGCCCGACAATGCGGCCATGCTTGATCTCCACTGCCCTGCGGCGCTTGAAGGTTGCCTCATCCTTGTCCGCGCTCAGCCCGAGCGGGTCCCAGAAGCCCACGGGATCCTGCACGCCGAGCTCCTTGGCGGGGTCGAAGCCAGCGCTGCCAGTCGAGTCGCCGCCGAAGAAGTTGCGCGCAACCTTGGGCTCCCTTGCCCTCAAAGGCGAGGAAGTGTACAGGCTCCAGTCGCCCCAGGCCGAGCCGGTCAGACCATCTTGGAAGAACATCCCGATGATCGCCTCAAACAACAGAATGATGCTACTATGTTGTGCTCTGAAAGCACGGCAACTTACAAACGACATCGTTGTGGGTCTGCCTTTTGCCACTTCCTCTGTGCTGCTCTCAATCCAACGACACTCGCCCAAGCGCCTTCATGCACAATGCTTTGCGCATGTGCGCACCTGGCATATTTCACATGGCTTTGCGCACATCGCTCCATGAACATAGCTGGATCACAAGGCCTTGCGAACATTCAATCGGGCTACACCAACAGTAAGGAAGCCTAAACCGACACTGTGGCTGCGACACATAGTCCGAATGTCTAAACTCATGCCAGCCACACTGCCCCATATCTGCAAACATGTTTGCTTCAACAATGCAACTGCAACAATGCTTTCAATGGCACTTGCATAGTACATGCCACACTGAATCGAACTGCTGCTGAGTTGCCATCATGGCCAGCCTTCCGTTAGCCAACTCGGCCGCAAGCTTGGACTTGCGGGCCTCAGGGTCCTCGACCTTGCCCAGGAAGGTGGGGAAGCCAACGCCGTAGTTGCCAGGCTCAGCCGACTCGGTGGAGTCCTTCATGGAGAACTGGCCCTCACGAGGGCCCCGGCCGTCAGTGGTGGAAGACGCCTGGAAGAACCCAGTGGTCTCGATCAGGCCGCAAAAGGCAATGATCTGCGCTCCGCCCAGCACTGGCACCCTCGGCGGTTAGCACGGAAAACCGCAACAAGAGTTTGAATGCCGCTTTGTCGGAAAGGGCCTCCCTTGAAACACCGATGCGGCATTCATGAATTCAAAACATGTGCACCCCTATTGTTTACACTGCCATGTGCAGGGCTTCATGCCGTGAACCATCTTAACGTCTGCGCCAACGTCACCAAAGCACTTGGACAGGGCTGCAAGGCCGTTGGGCACGTCGGAAAATTTCAGGCCCAACGAAGGCGAGAGGTAGCCTGCGCGGGCTTTCTGAAGCTGTGAACTGCTGGTCAAGCCCAATAGCATCGTCTACATTCGAATGAACCAATCCTTGCCACACACCCTCCCCTCACCAGGTTCGCAAGCTAAGAATACGGTTGAGTCTTCACCATTGCCGCTGACTGCTTCTGCAGTTCGCGGAGGTCATGTTTGCATTCAGCTGCTTGCTGCTTGGTCTTTCTGGCTTCTGCCGCAAATGAAGCAGGCCGGTGTCAGCGCACATCAAAGTACAACACCACAAGCACAAACACAGCAAGTCACAAAAACAAGCACGCGAAAACGCAAACACGCAAACGCACACAAACATATGCATAAACAGAAACTGACACGGAAAGACCTGCAGAGACAGCGATTAACACAGAAACACAAAAAGACACTGCGAGACACAGAGAGACAAAGACAAGCATCAGCAGGACACGTCTGCAGGGTGGGTGTGTACTGGAAAAAAAAACAAAGAGGAGACAAACACGCAAAGTTTAGTTGCAGTGCCGGCTGCGCAAATGGAGATGCATCCACCATCATATGCCATCCAAGGACTTGTCTCAAAGGCGTGTGAGACAGAACAACCAGACTTGACATTGGCATGCAAACATTGGAAGAACTTTCGCGCCGACGATTGGAAGTGGCCTGGAAACTTGAAGTACTCCGGCACAATGTAGCCTCACAATGGTGCTCACTTGTGCAGTCCCTGAACACTGGGTTGTCTGCAGGTGCGAAATTACTAGAGATTGTCCGTGGTGCGAAACAACCACGGAAATGCGAAATTTCCGGGTAGTTTTTGAGCTGACCGGGTATCCGCACTCCCTGAGCCCTCAAAGAGTCGCAGTGGTCATCGAAAACAGCATGATGATCAGCGAGTTGACTGTCTTTTGTGACGTTGGTGGTCAAGAATGTGAATATGCCCTGGCAACTATGCTGAATGGTGCCTCTGTTGGATCACGTGCGCATATAAGTCGAGGGTTGCTCTAGAGAACAGGGTCAAAGGTTTCATTCGGCCACAGCATCTCACACACACACACACAAGTACTCCAGGGGCCATGCCCATGGTCGCGTACATCGCCTCGGCCGGCAGACACCAGCGTACAAATAGTGATGTGAAGTCAGCATGTTCGGCAGAATCTACGTGTATTCTGCATATGTCATGTGGAACATCATATGTGTATATATATATATATGAATGAATGAATGAATGAATGAATGAATGAATGAATGAATGAATGAATGAATGAATGAATGAATGAATGAATGAATGAATGAATGAATGAATGAATGAATGAATGAATGAATGAATGAATGAATGAATGAATGAATGAATGAATGAATGAATGAATGAATGAATGAATGAATGAATGAATGTATGTATGTATGTATGTATGTATGTATGTATGTGATGTGATGTGATGTGATGTGATGTGATGTGATGTAATGCAATGTAGTGTAATGTCATGTAGTGTAGTGTAATGTAATGCAATGTAATGTGATGTGATGCAATGTAATGTATGTACATACATATGTACGTATGTATACCAATGTTATGCTTGCACTGAAACCCTCTGCCTCCTGCGTCAGACTTAGCATCGTATTGATCGCCTCCGGCCTCCCCAATTATCTTAAAGGATATCGGCCAGGTGGATGGGTTGGGCTTTCGAGTCACAAAAGCCCTCCTTGCCACAAGTCAGGCACGACACCCATGTGAGAATGAGAGGAAATTATTTGTCAATTCGAAGGCAACCCTCGTGGACAAATACGAAAAGATGATTTTCCTAGCAGCACCGGCACCAGTTGCGACAGTCATTTCAACATTTATATGTGGCTGGAAAAATGCACTAAATGGCACCTTGGCAAATGGAAGCCAAGACGAACACCTGCGTAACCCTCAGTCTGTTGTTTTGAAACCGGCAGCCATTTCATATAACTAGCTAGTGCTCACTGGGGAACGAGGAATGGAATGACCCCCAGAAAAAAGATCCCCTGGCTGGTGGTTTTCCCCCTTTTTTTGCGGGGACCCCTACCCCTGACCCCTACATTCCTGACATGTCTCCTTCCCCGATTTCGCAGCAGCCATAAGAAGGCACGTCACCAAAAAAACCGCCCCCCTGGAGCACCAGGCAGGCACCTCGGGTCCCGAGCGATGCGGCCGTGCTTGATCTCCACCGCGCGGCGGCGCTTGAAGGTCGCCTCATCCTGGGCTGTTGGGACGTCGCAGAGATTTTCCATTTTCCGGGTGAGCTGGTCACAAAAGAGACATACCGAGAAGGCTCGTCCGTATCTCCAAAAGATAGAAAGGGATTTCTATGGGTGTGGGTGTTTTCTAGGGGGACCCCCAACCTGGTTGGCTTTCCTTTCGCTTTCACTTCAAGAAAGGGTTCGGAACCCTCAGGGGAAACCCCCAAGTTCCTTGGATTGGCACCTCCGGGATTGATCCCTCGCGCCGGTCCACCTGAAAGGCCGGCCAGCTTTGCTTCGAGTGATGCGGCCTTGCCTCCCACCAGATCCTAGGCCCTAGGTATCTTCTTGGAAAGCCCCGAGGAAGGTCATCCTGGGGGCTGGGGGGGGGGAGGGAGGGGGGGGGATGGAGGGAGCCCAGATAAGCCTTAAATAAGGCCTTATCCTCCCCCCAAAGGTCTTGGCTCTACATCTTCCTAGGGTTAAGCGAGATACAATGGGACTAGAAGCAAAGATGGAGCGGCATGTTGCCACAAGTCTATGGGAAAAGACTGGCCCACTTCCACTTGGAGACCCCAGCAAGCAAAAAAGGACCAATCATTCAGAACAAGAAGGGTTCCTCCCGGGCGAATGCTGACTGGCATGGGGGCAAGAGTGAGCAGCATTCTCTGGTGAGCGTGAGCCAGATGATGTGGTCAGTACAAGAAGGATGGGAGGCGTGCCGAAATGGAAGAACAACTTGCAAGATTTCTTGGAAAGCAGGCATGGACTTTCAAGGAGCCAGCTTCCTCCCTCCGCAATGCAGATCGAGAATCGTCTTCCAAAAATGCAATTCGAACCGCTATTTGACTCAAGTGAAGCTTGCGTACCTTGTCAGACTACGCATGCAATCTACGCTGGGTTCAATAGCTGTGAGCTGTTGCGCACTCTGTTGTGCACGACTGGACCAATCCGTAAAGAAGGCGCATCTGCCTGGAGCCCCTGACATGAAAATTGACGTTTGTTGACATGAGTGCCCTATTCGGCACAAAAACTTTCTACTGGACGCAGAAACCTTACACGCACGCCATCCCAAGCGAACCCGACGTGGAAACAAGCAACAAAGCTTTCCCTAAGAAGGTCCCTTTGGCGCCCACGGCGAACAAAAGCAAGCCATCTTCACCTTGAAAGCTCCAGGCCTCTTGCACCCAACTGTTCTGAGTTGTGACAAACTGTGACGACACAACAATGTGTGTTTCTCAACAAAAAAAATGGGAAACGACTTCTTTGCTCCGCAATCCGGCCAATCCAATTCTCCAAGGGCTTGAGAAGCCTGCGAAAGATCCTCCGGGCAAGCGCCCCAATTTTTTCGCCAATCCGTGCCTTGTCGGCGCTCAGTCCGAGGGGATCCCAGAATCCAATGGGGTCCTGCAGTTGCGACCGGATCTTTTTAAGGGGGCTTTGCTGGGAGAAACATCCTTTGGCTGTGGCTCATGTGTTTGGTTTAAAAAAAGAACAGCTGGGGTTATGCAGGTCGTCTTCGTTTCCAAGAACCAAGGTGCCATTTGGGAACCAAAACGCCGCAAGCGCGTGAGCCAAACAAAAGCTTGCTTGGAACACAATGTGTGTGTGTGAGAGTGCGTTTTGCTTGAGGTTCATGTTGACCCTACACTAACAAACCAACCAGTTTATTCCTACAAGGTGTCCCCCTCCAAAAGTGGTCTGATTCCCACTAAACGCAGGGACACCCCCCTATTGATAAGCTGGGGTTGATTCTTACTGTGGATGGACGAAATCCTGCACCACGTTGAAACCATGGGAAACCATTGTTGGTTGGCATTTACAAGGGAATCATCATTCCAGGGTTTCTTAGGTGGTGCGAATGGATTTCGTCCATCCACAGTAGGGGGTCAACATTAGCTTGTTGTGTGATCGAAGCTAGCGCCGCTCCTGAACGCCCATCTCCTTTGCCGGGTCAAAACCGCTGGGCGCGCTGGAGCCGCCGAAGAAGTGGCACATGGTCTGCGGTGGAAGCGCCGCAATTCGCAAGGTGAACCAACCGCCAGTGTGGCGCGACCCAGAAGGCCGCAGAGGGGCCGCTGTTTCAAAACAGCCATTCTTGCGCTTCTTTGGGGTTTAGATTGGCCAGGTGGATTGGTTTAGTGCTGGTTTAGGGTGGGCTTCGGGTCGCGTCTAGGTGGGTTTGTGGTGGGTTCAGGGTTGGTTTCGGGTAGGTCAGTCCACTGCCCTTCTGTGGCTCTCTGCGGCTCTCCCTCCTACCCGAGGCGGGGCAGGTGCGACGCGAAGCGTTTACAAGAAGGCTCTCATTCTTGCGTGCCTCGATGCTATTTTTTTGCTGGTTAAAAGCAATATGAGGGGAATCCAAAAAGTTAAAGTCTCAAGATCCAACCCAATAGCAGTAGAGTTCACGCACACACAATCACCATGCTGGAAGATTTCTGCAGATGCCCCTGGTTTGGGGTAAATCAGCTCCTGTGGCTTGCAAGCTGTGAGCTGCGGCCTACTAGCGCCTCTGTGGCAAGTCCTGTTCATTCATGAATGATTTCGGGTGAGCCTTAGGAAATCAGCAAGGCACCCAACAGCCCTAACAGCAAGGTAACAGTAGCAGGACTACCAAGGAGAGGGGACAGCTATACCTTGTGATCAATTCAGCGCTGCGCCTCAAAATATTGGTTGGCCAGCCCACCGAAACAAATAGCACTCAATGCTAGCGCGGCACTGAAGCTGCCAGGCTACAAAAAGTCTGTCAACCAACAGCTTGCCTTTTAACAGGGATCCTTACATGATACACCTGAACATTGCCTTGTAAATGGTGGGTTCCCTTTATTTTGGTGGAAAAAGCCATCTTTCAAATGGGCAAAGTGTATCTTTTAAGGAGCCCTGTTTAATGAGAAGGGGGAAACAAGTACAGCGAACATCGGCCACCGATGCCGAGCCCATTCCCCGCTTCGAGCCTTGGACCCTTTCCGGGCCTTGCAAATAGGTGAGCTTGGCGTGTGAAAGAAGCGGAGACAAACACGGCAAGGGGAGTGGATTCTGGCTTGGGTGCATGATATCCATGGTACCGTGTCCGATATTTTTCGATGAATGCCCCTCCAATTTGTCAACTCCTGTGCTCCTGGACTGCATCAAAATGATCAAGCATCTGGAAATGTTGACGAAACCCCGTCGCACATGGGGATAGCATCGTGTTAGCTGATTGATAACACTCTGCGGAAAAAAAGAAAGAACAAACTCTTCTACAGCTAGGACCATCATGTGCCTCCAATGTACCCCCGACTAGACAAAACGGCATGCTGCAGCTTTAACTGTTGCTATGTGTTTTCAGTCTTTGAGGTGAATGTTGCAACATGAAGCAAGGTATACACTTGCAACCTTGTGGAAAAGCTTCAGAATGGAATATCCTTTCCAAAGCAGTGCAACCATGTACAACCCAGAATTACACACATAACCTGAGTACCCTTCAACCTCCCTTCCCTTTCCCCTGAGCCCCTGACTGAGCGCCCTTACCCCCTTGGACCCAAAAGATTGGACTCCAATGCCTCTGAGACCGAGGGCCTGGCGTTCCTGGCCGCCACCTGTCCGACCAGATGCTCGGTATTGAATCCAAGACTCGCCAGTGGCCTCTGCGAAATTCCTTTGCGAAATTCCTTTGCCACCACTTGGAAACCATGGTTGAAACCATGAAATTATTGGTGTTTACAGGGAAATCATCAGAAACTCAGGGTTTCTTAGGTGGACATGGATTTTGTCCATCCACACCAGGTAGTGGTTTGTGGCTCGAAACCACTACCTGGCTTGAACCAAGAGCACCGAAAAGAATATTCCAAGGTTCCAAGCGCCTCGAATGCTTGCCAAGCGGCAAGGCTGCTTGCGGCTACGCCGGCCACAGCCACACTGGAGAGGTCAACCTTAAGGCATTGCCCTCAGATCGCCCACGAAAGGTGACTAACTTTTAGTGGGCCAAATGGAAACTACCGCTAGACACTGAAAAGCTAAACAGCTAGGGGGATGGCTGGTAGCCACCTTTCTGGAAGGCATGAGGTTTCTCAGCTTGGAGGAAAACTCAGCTCCCCCACAAGCCGAATCTTCTGAAGTAGTGGCTCATGCCATGAAGTTGTTTCTTTTGACCAGCGTAAGCAGCACTGACAGAGCCAGGCGAGCGCTTTGCGGCTGGCTGGCCTGTCATGTTCAAAAGTGCCTGAAATGATGTGAGTTCTTGTACGACTCAGAGGGCGATATTTGGGCCCTTCAGTAGGGGTCAAGGTTCCGAGCACTTCTCAAAGCCCTCAATTCTTGCAACCCCACGGCGCATGCAGGGTCGGAGGGGTGCTGCCATGTGCCGACTCTATTTTGTTATTGGGCAAAAACAGGCAGTGCTCTTGCGGTCAAGCCAAATGACCACGCTCAACTGTTGGACGGCCGCAAGGCGGCAAGGGAAACTCGCCTCACAAGCAGTGGGGGGGCTGGCACGCGACACTAGTCGAAACTTGATTTCTTGCCCACTGGAATATCTGGAGCCCAGTCGGTCAGAAAAATGAGTCTAGCACATAGGAAGTTCCGCTTCTTTCGTCTGAGTCGCCGGCCGAACCATGAGATGCAGATTGGGCCTGCTGGGACGACCTGGCGTCCATTGGAACACATGCTCTGAGAGGCATACCGGATTCCGCGGCCTTAGCCTTCCGTTGTGATGCAACGTCTTGGTGCTGACACAGGTTCGCACCGTCCAAAGTTGGCCATGGGTCAAAGCCAAATCGTACCCCCACTAACACACCCCAATCCAACCACTAAAATTGGAAGCCTAAAATGGGTGGTGAATTCACCCAATCCAACCAAAATGGGATCAACCACAACGGTGTAGCCTAAAATGGGTGGTGAATTCACCTGCCAACCAAAATGGGATGGTGTTGACAACCACAGTCAGATCTTTGGTCTGTGAGCCTCTCTTACGCTTTTGTTCGCTGGGGCGCGGGCGGCAGGACACGCGGCGCCTGGACAGCGGGCGCTACGAAGCTGGGAGCCTCGGAGATCCGAGCGGAACAGACAAGCGCGACAAGTTGCTAGGCACGCAAAACATGCAAACACGCTTACACACAAAAAGAAAAGAAACACACTCACACACAAAGAAAAAAGAAGAAAAACAACACGCACGCAAGCACACGCAAAACACACGCAAACACACGAATGCACACAAACAAACACCGATTCAACACAAAAACGCACTCGGGATTGGCTATCACGCTCTGTTGTATCGGGACCTTCGCGGACCCGACGCTGCGCATTGGAAGATACAAGTCTTCATGTTGTTTTTCCTTTTTTCCCCGGCCCCTCCACAATAACTTCCATTGCAAGAGACCTGTCAACCACCCAACTCCAATTGACATCTTCGACTTGCCGCGTTTGGCGTTTTACGAAGATTGATCTGCGACCTACTACAAGTGTCAGGGAAGCAAGAGTCCTCTCTTTTTGTTCCCAAGAATATCCCTCATGTTCCTGGGCACTGTGCGACAAGCATCGCTCCGGAAAGTGCTGCACCTTGGGCAGAGATGCCGTAAAATGCGACTGACAAGCTTGAACCATTATCCGTTTTCCACTGGACGTGTCATGCTGCTCTTGACAAGATACTCTTGCACAGCATTGGGGGTCTTCAGGTTGAGCGGGCGATAGTCGACCTGCCCTACAAGCTGCAATGTGGGTGTGCCCTTTTTTAGGGGTCTCCCCAAAACGACGGTGTTGAGCTTCCCCTTACAACCAACCAAAAGAGCCTTCCCCCAACAGAGACGAGCCATGTGGCAGAAATTGCCTCAGCAAGAATCTAAGCGCTGGTCCACAAGCGAGGCTTCGACCAGCCATGCTCTTTGCCTGGGGTCAGCCGGCCGGCCAGCAAGCGCCCAGATTCAAATCGCCTGGGTCTTTTTGTAGGTTTGGCCCCCCCAAAATGCCAAGGATTTCCTGGTGGTGTTCCCTTCAAAACCAAGCAACACAAGAGGGGGGTCCCAAAAAATAAGGCAGAGCAAGATACTACTTACCATATCTTCTATCACTTTCCACCCAGCCCGCTGGGAGAACAGCACGTTTACGCGCCCAGGAATACTGGCTGTGCTCCTCGCACGCAGGGAGCGATGTTAACAAAGTCTCACACGTCAGTTCCTATGTCCGGGCCTGCATTGCGAAAATTGTGCCTTTTACACTAGAGCCAAAACTGCGTGGCGTGGCGTTCCGAAACCATTGCCGAGCAAGCCTTGGCCAACCAAAGCAATCGCTGGTGCTTGCAAGCCCTGCCACGAAAACCACTCGTAGTCTAGTAGTCAGCTGCCCGGAAAAAGAGTCGTTATCGTGTGCGCAAAATGCAAAACCGAGGGGATCTCCACAGGCAAGACCAAGGGGAGAACAGTGTTGGGGCTGGGCAACTGGGCATCTGAAAACACTCTAGGAGAGTATGGCTGTGGTTGTCAAAACCAATGGGATCCCATTTTGGTTGGCAGGTGAATTCACCACCCATTTCAGAACCTACTTTAGTGGGGATTGGGATGTTCACTGGGGTACGTTGTTTTGACGCATAGCCGTACTGCGACTTAGAAAGGAGCCTTGCAATCCGCGATGAAGGCAGGGCTCAGAGTTGCCGAAGGCAAAGCCCCCAAACACATAGCCACTCACCTTTGTCCATCCAGCAAGAGCAAAAACACCCAAACTCCAAAAAATCGGCATGGCGGCCTCAAGAACTCTGGCAAAGGCCCTGAAAAAAAAAACTCTGCGAAAACTTTACCACACAATCTGCAGAATGAAAAGGACAGATTCCTAGATGAAGAAAACAAGCAATGACAGCCTAGATTTGAGCCATGGAAACTTCCTGAGTGCCACTTGCGCTTGAAATGACCTCCAAGAATAGATTAGCAGTTCAACCTGCGGCGCTCAGCGCAGCTGCAATCGCCTTCTCTTTTGCCACGTTGCACACGCAATAGATGTTGGTTTATCCTGAAACAGATACTACGCCTCAGCAAGTGCTAAGGTTCATTCCCAGGAATCGACTCACCGAATGCATCCTTCCCCTTTGACTTTCGAGATTCCTGGGACTGCTAGGGGCATCGCTCGCATGTAGCACAAGCTGACTGTGCGGCGATGGCCGAAATATCCTCTGCTCGCCTGCTCTCTGACAATGGGAGCTTGTTGAACCAGAGGTTGGAAAAAGATCGTCTGGCCTCTAGCCTCCAGGTCACGCCAGGATCTTTGGGCATGACTCAATGCATATAACGTGCATAACTGCACCTCAGATTCTCAGATGGCCAGCCGTCTGACACCACATGACAGCCTCTACCTTGCATAAGTGCATTCCAATGTGCGAGGCATATGTTTTGACAAGTGACCTCTTTGATTGTCTATGCTGACAAAGACAATTAAGGCATCCTGAATTCTGGAGAGTACAGGGTGCTGTAAACCAACAGTGAACTGTCTTTGGGTTTCTGGCCCTATTGCTTTCATCGCCGCCCCGTACGCCTGAGTGCAAAATCTTCATCTTAGCTCAATGCTTGCAATCACAATTTGATCAGCCCCATGGGAATCCCAGTAGCAGCTATTGCACGGTCCAAGGCCTTGTCAAAGAGCGAGTGTGCTGCATCATGTTGCTTTTGTTTGTTTCACGTTCGCTTCCAGGGCGGAGATCTGCAAACAGCAGTGCTCCACAAAGCGTGCTGTTCACTTTTTCTACCGACGCCGACTCTGCCGGCCAATTCTTGACATTGGCCAGATTATGGCAGGGAAAACACAATTTGAAGCAACATCAATCACAAAGTCCAGTCTGTGATCGCTTTGCAGCCCATTTTCCCGTAAGGTCAGGACTTCACGCACCAAACCTGGGCTTGAGACAAACCGCACCGCAGGACTGGCGTTGCCAACATGTGCTTCAAGATCACGGGGCCCGCTGCGACCACGTGTTCAAAGATGACAGGGCATTGTCACACAGGGATCCGGATGCATGATACACCTGAACATTGCCTTGTAAATGGTGGTGTCAGCCCCAGCCATAAATGGGTGCGGCTGCCTTTTAATTTCCTGACATGGATTTGGGTAGACCATTTTAATGTCAGGTTTTGATGGTCAGCAGGGGGACGTCAGAGAGGAATCGAGCGCAATATGTTGGTTTGTTCTACCTTGGTCAACCTGTGCTCGCTGATTCCAAACCCCTGCATTGTGACAGGGCTCCTTAAAAGATACAGTTGCTTTTTGCCCATTTGAAACATGCTGTTTTTTCCACCAAAATAATGGGCAGTACTGGCCCCATCATTTTACCATGGTCGAAGTCACCCCCGTTCAGTGGCGGGTCAAAGGGAAACAACCGATTCCATTTTCTGACTTCGATAACCCCCAGAAACCGTCAAAATAACAACCCCAGCAGCACTCACCCAAATTTATGGCTGGGACTGCCCCAGCACTAACCTTCATCTACCCAGGTTTTAATTTGTGGCTCTGTCGAGCTGGGCTCTGGGCTGCTGAATGGCATCCTGCGGCACGGCACATGGCACGGCCACACCCAGAACGTGCGATAAAAACCTGCCAGCGAACTGGAAGGCAGTGGACAAGTTCATTGATTTGGCTGTGGGTCAAAAAATAGGTACCCAAAATGGAACCCTGGTAAATGGAAACAATGACTAAAACCTGCGGTCCCCTAGTGGTTTGATTTTGACCCACAGCCATTTGAGCTTGGCTGCAAATAAAATGCACAAACAAGGTTGAAAGCAGAGCATCAAGTTGCAAGCTCCAAAGGTTTCTTCGGCCTATCCGTCATTTCTCTTCTCTCTTTTTATCTTGTGGATTGCCCATTCGCTCTTTCCACCCCTGCTTGTACAACGTGTTGTTTACATGAGTGCACCTCTCGTGCTGATCACCTCTCTCAACGCCCGTGCTTTGTCAGGCATGATGGTCGTCGCTAAGTCACTACCTCTAAAGCACACGAATTGCTGCATGCGTTCCCATCTTCCCTCTACAAGAACCAGGGATTCAAATTCCAAACCACCAATCCAAACCACAAACAAAGGGCTACCTGACATATCATGCTATCATGCAGCTTCTACCAATGCGATTGTAGCAAAACCCCCCCCCCCCCCAAAAAAAAAAAAAAGGCGCCCGAACTGCGTCCTTGCCAGTCAAAAGATCAGCAGAGATGATGCCGAGCGCAGCGAACCTCAGAGAATCGACCCGTTGGATGCTACAGCCATGTGGTTGGATTTAAAGGAGAACCAAAAGGAAATTGAGATCAACCTGTTTTGCGGGTCCCCTTAAAAAAGAAACACCCATGTCTTGTTCATTGGAACAAAGCTTGCAACTCGCAATTCGGTGTTCAAGCCACACTAGCAGGCAAAGCAGGCATCATGAACTGCTGAGCTTTGATTTTTCGCATCTTTCACAAATGGCCATGGGTCAAAATCCCGTACCCCCTGTGAACGTCCCAATCCCCACTAAAATAGACTAGAATGGGTGGTGCACCTACCCAAAAAATGGCAGCATTGGTGTTGACCCACGGCCATATGGGGTGGAAACTTGAGGCTCGAAAGAATCGGCTGGTTTCATGAGTCAAGTCCTGCGAGAACTCCCCAAGGGGCCAAAGAACAAAATTCCACAAAGCGTTCTCGGACAAAAAATGGCAGTTTACATTTTCTGGGAATGTTGATACCCAGCCATGTGGATCAAAGCGCAGTCAGCCTGACCCTTCAAGGCGTTAATGACCACATCAATCTGGCAATGCAAACAAGCCCGCTAGCCGAGGACCCCTGGCATTGCAAAGCGGCCGTTGTTCAGCTCCTAGCGCATGTCTCAGCTTTCTTGCTCGTGGTCTTGTCTTCGTCTTGCTAGATCTTGCTTTGTCCAGCATGTTTCCTGCACATGTGCTACGGGGAATATCGATGTGTCCTGCAAGAGGCAAGGTTGCAAGCGCAGTCCATCGAGTTCTCCTTTGCCAATTTGCCAGCAAATGTTAATGAATATGGAATGGCTCACATTCATGCGGTGGATGGACAAAATCCTGCACCACTTGGAAACCATGGTTGAAACCATGGTGCGTTGGTATTTACAGGGGAAGCAGCCTTCCATGGTCTCTGTGGTGCAGGAGTTCGTGAGGCCACAGTATTCAACTCATCACTCAAGCAAGTCACCTACGGGGATGAACCTCTTTGCATATATCAGTGTCAAGGGCTGCACTGGTATTGGCCATTAAAAGGAATCCTATTGCTTCACCGTCCTCCGAGCTTCACCGGAGAGGGTCTCACTATCCAGCTTCTTAACTTTTCCATCTGGAGAACATCAAAACGAGGCAGAGAAGCCACGCTCCCCCAGCCTGGCGTTTTACCCTAAACCCCCGGTGTCCGGTGCACAAATTTGTGTCCTCCTGCGCCTAGTCTCAGTTGTTCAGTGACCCTGGAGAAAAAAGGGAACCCTTCTTGGGGAAGACCAAACTTTTAGCGGGACAGCCACCAAAAACACGGTGGCAAAAGAATTGGTGCCACTGAACAACTGAGTAGTTGTCCTGTGCGCATCCGAGCCGAGTCCTTGTTGCGCATCTCCTCGTTGTACTGGCCAAGGCCTTGGTATCCAAGCTCAGCTCATCTCTCTGCCAGACTTCGATGGACAAATGGCTGTGGTTGTCAAAAATGCGGTAACCCCAAAATGGCTTGCCCTGGCAAAGGGAACCAAAGACTAAAACATGTGCTTTTTTTCTGGTGGTGTTATTTTGACTCATACCCAAACGGCGAAGCTGTGATACAGTACGCACATGTTTTCCTATGGGGTTGATCAGGTCCGTTGCGTGGGATGACCATCAGGGAACCCGTGGTCATTTGGGGGCCCTTCAAACGGAATATTGATCCACCCCCATGTGCTTCTCTACCCCTTTGCATGGGATGACCATCAAAAAACCCATCTTCTTTATGGCCTTCGGAATATTGATCTCCACCCTGCGCTTCGCTGTGCCTCTCGATGAACTCCTAACCACAGGTGTCCTTTTAGGGGAAATCGATGGGTTTCCCCGGTAGATGAAACCAGGCGAACCGGGAATCGAAACCCATCGACTTTTCGACCAAAACCACCCAATAAGGACAACCCCGATGAACTCTTGGTTGCTCTAAAAGGTTTTGTATATATATATATATATATATATAACTTTTAGTGGTTTAATACAGAAAACCCACTAGTTGGCAACAAGTTGTTCAGTCCTAACAGGGTCCTTGCATTATACACCTGAACATTGCAACTTGTCAATGGTGGTTTCCCCTTATTTTGGTGTTGAAAAAGCCATGCTTTTTTTGTCAACTGGTTGCAACATGTAGATATTTTAAGGAGCCCTTCCTAACATCCCTTGGCAAAATGCACCAAAGAGCTCCTAACGCGACGGAAGGCTTAAGGCAGCAACCCACGGGGTCTCCAAAGTCGCCGGCCTCCTTGTTGGGGTCCTGCATGCGTGGAGTCGGCTTGGCGGGTTGCTTGGATTCGAGTCAGAAAAACGGGGAAGCCAATAATTCATTTGGGTGGCCTGTTGGAAAAATAGATGGGTTTCCCTGGGAAATGAAACGAAACCCATCTCAACCAGTGGTGGAAACCATCTAGTTTTAACCAAACTAACCTAAAAAGGACGCCTATGGTGCCAAGTTGTTGTTGCACACCGGCAACCTTCAGCTTTGGAACCCACAAACGAGAGATGTGACTCATCAAAATGGAACAGAGTCCAGAATCATGCAGCCTACAAGATCTTGCCCGAGCAGTCTGTCATCTTTCGGCCGCGCTGACTTTGGGCAAAGGGACCTTCAACTTTGAACTAACCAGCACACGAGGGCGTCATCGGGGTCGATCATCAAGGAAAGCCTGAAAGATGTGAATCTGTGTATGGGTGTGCCAGCCTTCCATCGCTGTCTTGCTCTGGCCAGATCTAAGACCCTGGGTATTTGTCCATCTCCGTGTCACACACTCACTCCCGAGCCAAAGAATAATAATAAACGAAAACCCGAACACATCCTTTTCGGGAATTCCACAAGCCCAAGAGAGGTGAATACCCCAAGCCAAGAAAGAAAACCCCAGAAAACCCAAGAAAACCCACACTTTTTGCGAAAAACTCGCCCCCAAACACACGGCCGAACACGCCTCAAAACGTGGATTCCCGGCGGATTCCCTAAAAAGCGAGCCTCCCTCGCGGAAAAATCGGACATCGACTCAGGGCTGTCCTGGGTCCAGACCGCCAGCTCCATGGCGCCGGAGAGCAGGAACAGCGCCTCGGCGGATCGATGCCTTTCGGGGCCCACCCGCCTCGGCGCCCCGATCCGTGTCGCCCCCCCGTTCCCAGCGTTTGAGGCGCAGTTGAGGTTATGTTGGATTATGTTGGTTCCTACCCCCAGCCGCTTTTGATGTTATTTGGGCTTTTTTCCTTGGTTTTTGGGCCTAGCCCTCCATGATAAAATGGAAAACCCCGGAAAATGGACTAGTCGGATTCTGGGAGAGAAATCCCCTGGCAAGAAATGAGTCACAAAGGCAAGATCTGGAAGTAAAATGGTCGATCCCAGAACCGTGTAACGAAGTGAAAAGTCGGATATCAGCACCCATTTATGGCTGGGATTGTCCGTTAATACCCTATCTGGCACGTTGACTTTCGCTGAGAGCCCTGGAGCGTAGGAACAAATTGCAGAAGCTTGTGAGCGCCACACCCGTCCAAACCAAAATGTCCAAAGCTGGAAGGCAGAAATGCACCTACACGGCTCGGGGAATGTATAGCGCTAGGGTTGACGCGGCCAGGGGCAGCCTTCAAGTTCCTTCAAACAAGCGCAACCGCAAACCCGTTCAGGAAGCAAAAACACCATATGGCTGTAGCTCGAAAAAACGGTACCAAAAGAGAACCCTGGTAAGTGGAAACATGGACCAACACCTGCGTAACCCCTCCTGTTTAATTTTGAGCCGCAGCCATTTGTTTGGGTCCCGGAACACTACTCAAACCGCTTGGACTACATGGCACACAACCGAACCTATAACTACTTCGCAAGTTGTCATGTCTGTTTCTGCCCAACAAACCAGGGAACAGTTTCGTCAAACCTGGATGTAAAAGTGCTCCGGTAGCCAAACTGTCTGAGTTGACAAGCAAAGAAAGGATTGGAACATGACAAGCGCTTGGAAGAATCAAGTTGGACTAGGCTCAGCACTGCGAAACCATAGCTTCCAGGCCTGAGTGCGATGGCAAAACAAGCCCATGGTGCCATCGGCGCCAAAACCACGACTGCTGGCCTGAAATGACCGTGTCAGCCTCCGCGGCTTCCGGGAAGAGCTTCCATACTGAACGTTGCCCATTTTTCCAGGTAGCCATTCCAGTCGAGTTGTTTGAGACCCCACTCGATAGGTGACCACCTCTGAAACCTAAACATCAGCATGGCCATGGGTCAAAATCCAAATCGTACCCCCAGTGAACATCCCAATCCAACCACTAAAACAGGAAGCCTAAAATGGGTGGTGAATTCACCCAAACCCCAAAATGGGATCAACCAAAACGGTTTTGACACCCACACCCATCTGCATTCTATTCCTCCCATCCCTCATACCTCTGGGCTTCCGAGCGCAGTGGTCACTGCACCCAGGCCAGCAGGCACCGACTCGAAGCCGGGGAACTTGATGTAGTGCTGGGCCACCTGCCAAAGAGGTGCTGAAACCAAGCTGCGGGCAACTCCAAGGCTTGAGTTTGGACCCCGGCTCCCGCCGGGAACAAGACGCAAAAATGGCTTCCAAAACCAACCACGTCCCATGAAGAGATGCTCTGGAAACAAAACAAAACACTGGAGTGGCCAAACCGTTTGGCCAGCTGGCTACAAGCCAGGTAGGCTTGCCGCCCAAGCCAGACCAAACACTTCTCCAAGATCCCATGCAGCACCGGAAGGCTTGGCGGGGTCTCATCATCTTGGAGCAGAACCAACAGTCAATAGTTGAAACGGGCGCTGCTCAGATGAGCTTTCAATAGTCTATGGTCCTTTTGGGAGAAACCGCACAGGGTGCGTGGTAAATTTCAACCAACGCCAGGAAAACTTACGAATTGTGCCCATGTCCTTTTGTGGGAAAGGAAAGCCTGCTTCAAATGGCACCTTGGAACGAAAAGAAAGGCCTTTCAGGGGGTGGAATTGAAGGGAACCAAACAGACACCATCAAACACCTCCTTTTTTCGAGGGGCTGTCCTCTTTCCCAGACCACCACATTGGGCCCACCAAATATGCAAGTTAGTTCAAATCATTCAGCACTTGACCCTGTCGGTCTCCAGGGGTCTGAACCAACTCTTGTCCTGCCAGTCTTGCTTTATGAGAAGCTCAGTCATAAAAATAAAAATAAAAATAAAAAATAAATAAAACTCTACACATGCACCGCAACAATCCGCGACGATCAAATCAACCTGGAAAGAATACTTCAGCCTTTGGGTTCGGGGGTGCGGTTGTGCAGCTTAAAACTTGGAGTTGACGGAAAGGCCCGCCAGGAGTGGGAGCTGCAGCTTAATTTGATGCTATGTGGGATAATTGTACAAGTCCAGACATAGCAAGCATTGACAGATTGACAGCCCTTTCTTGGTTCTATGGCGGCTGGCGCATGGTCGCCCCCAATGTGGTGGGAGTGATTGGTCAAACGTCTTCCTTGAAAGGTTTGTCTAGAGATGAGCAATTATTACTCCAGTAATTAGATGCAGATGCAACTTGTAACTCCTGCCAAACACGCCCGCCGCGCCGCTCCCAGAGCTGCCATCATGGCAACGCGGCCGTGCTTAATCTCTGCAGCCTAAGTGGCAAGCGCAACAGAATCAAGCATTGCGAGCGAAACTCTGTTTCCCCGGGCTTCATGCATGCATCCCATCTGTGGCCATCAACGGGGAAACAAAGTAGCTACTGCACACAGTAATGAGGCCCTGCGCGACAACCACGCAAACATCACCAGGTTGCATCGATTGGCAACCTTGGTTGTGTTCGATTAAATACAAACGTGCCGGACCTGTCAGTTGCCAAAGCTGCGGCTGGCTATGAAGTTTCGGGAGGTATATGGCTGGGGTCCTCGTCGCGCAGGTATGTCATGGGAACACAGCGCTTGACACCTCCGCGCTCCAGCTCGGTCGTCGCAACTTTTCAGCACGCGAGTAGCAGCACCACTGTAGCGCAGAACAACAAAGTGCATTTCCGCAGCTCGAAAGTTGCAGCTGTTCAGTACAAGCGCAGCTGGCAAAGCGCTTCTCCACAGCACCAGCTGGATGGGTTTGGGTTTGCAACAAGGTAACAACTGCGTAACGAGGTACGTAACGAGGTATGGCACACAAAGAGCATTCTTCCGGCCCCTCCCTGCTACCTGTTCCAACTGGTCCTCTTCTGCAGGGCAAGCTCTCTGCAAGTTGGCCTGCACAGGTATGTCCAGCGAAAGCATGTTCTGCAAAAGTCCGCTCTGCATCAATAAGAAATGACTCTGAGTCCGGGTATGAGGCATGCATCGGGATATCCAGCGAGCGGCGCATGAAACCCGCCAGGGCGGTTCGTTGATGTGAGCCATGCGACCGGCTCTAGCAAATACCCTTCAACAAAACTCACTGCCAGCTGGGATCAGTCTGTGAAGCCCAGAATTGCCAATTGCCACAACAGCAAGCCCGAAGATAACAAAATACCAGATTGAACCGCCACTTCGGCTTGGCAGGGCAGGCTGCAGAGACGTCGACTGGAATTGCTATGAACCGGGCGCGAAGGCTCTGGAAGCCGTCCTTGTCCCCAACCTTGCTGAAGCCTGACGGTCACTGCTTTGGCATACTCCTCCTGCATAGATTGTGCTCAGCAGTGCACATTGCAAGCACTGCTGAAACTTACACTCAAGGAACTGCAAACCAAGCAGAGAACGCCAGATCAACTTCTTCGATGGAGATTGGTCTGTCTGGTGAGCCTTTGAAGTAGGAGAAGTCGCTCAAAAGCTTGGCGCAAAAAGTCTAGAAAGAAAGGCACTGGATACCCCAGCGGCGATCGAAAACCTCTGGTTTGCCACCAGCAGACCCGGTTTGCCAACAAGTACTGCGGATTGACAAGGCCAGTGCCCAACAAGTAGTGTCGTTCACGTCATCAACATGGGCAAAAGCACCGCGCCTGCAGGGTCAAAGAAGCCAAGGGGCCTCAGCTCAAAATGCGCAAAATCCGGTCATAGCGACATAACGCGACGTTGGCAAAGAGGCAAGGAAAAATTGCACGACGATCAAGGCTTCAGAAAAAGACGTGTCCAAAGCAGGTCCGGGCGTCCACACAGTGAGAAATGAAAAGCAGGCCCTCTGCGGTTGGACAAAATCCTGCACAACTTTGAAGCCCATTGTTTCTTGGTATTTGCAGGGGAATCCCATCATTCCGGGCTTTCTGAACGGGGGTGCGAAATGGATTTCCCCGAAGCCCACGGGCTTTTGTACATGTTGACCCCATTTGACCCCCATATTCATCAACCCCCAGTTTGGTAGTAGGAGGTTGTCCATGGGATTAGTGGGGAATCAACCCACTTTTGGAGGGGCTCCACATCTTGAAATATTACGGCCACTGTCCTGATCCCTCCGTTCCCCTCAGACACGGACTCCATTGCACCCACCTTCAGGATGAAAACAGCAACGGGGGGGGTCTTTTTGCCGCCTTTTGTAAGCCAATTGGCGACCCCCTCAAAAAGGAATCCGAATCACTACAAGGGGGTCGATCATTCTTCCACCTTTGGGTGGCAAAAAGACCCCCCCTGAACAGCAAGGGGAGACTCTTTGCGGACCACAGCAAGCACAGGCAAGTTTCCTAAAGGCCAAACGCCCTCTTTGGTGCATTTTGCCAAGGGATGTTGGGACTTTAACTTTTTGCCAACTAATGGGTTTTCCATTCAACCACTAAAAGTTAAACTTTTAGGCAGGGGAGCAGAAAGCACCCGAGCCCTGT